ATTTCTTAAGTTTTCGCGGGTACTTACATGTATGGCATTCAGCTTTGTTCGGGTAAAAGCACAACTACAATGACGTGGGAAAATACCCGAACAAAGCTGAATGCCATATATATACATACATACACACACACACACACACACACACACACACACACACACACACACGGTATTTAGATTTCTTTGGGTATTTTCCCACGTCTTAATAGTTGTGCTTTTAAAGTTATAGAGATGTTTCAGCAGAATCTCATCTGCCATCTTCAGGCTTGTGTATTGGGTTTTTTCCTAATCGTGTGTATCAGGCTTTAGCAGCAATTAGGAAAAAAACTAATACACTAGCCTGAAGATGGCAGATGAGATTCTGCCGAAACATCTCTATAACTTTACAAGCACAACTATTAAGATGTGGGAAAATACCCGAAGAAACCTAAATACCAGACAGACAGACAGACAGACACGTGTGTATGTATGTATGTAGGTATGTATGTAAAAAAACAGTCAACAGGTAAACGATAAAACTGATTGTCAAATCCCTCTGTTAACCCACTATTTATAAAGTGTAGAAAGACCACAAATGACTTCCCCTCTCTTATAAACTTATCTAACCCATTGTCTCTAATCAAAGCAGTTAATTTTGCCTTCTCTGCCAATTCAGTTTATTTTAAAATCCACATTTCAACATCCCCTTTTCCTTCCCATGCTTAGCATAAAGAATCCCATTTTCCAATCTTGTCAACTTTAAGGTATGTGGATGTCAGTTCTCAGAATCCCCCCAGCTAAAGGTGGAAAACCTTGCTCTTATGCATAGGTGAGGAATATGTGGCCAGCAGAATGCTACTAAAATAAACCACTAAGTAGCCCTCACCATTGTCTCTGCTGGTGGAAGCTCTTGAGTTTACATAACAACTGGAATGTGACAAGTTCCTCACTTTGCATTAGTATTCTATGATGAGTTGGAATACCCCAGCTAAGGAATGTATTTTTTTGAAACATTTTATTAGATGATAAAGAATTATAAAATGCAAAATACAAAAATAAATAAAAGAGCAGTGGAAGTGGGGAGAGAGAAGTGAGGAAAGGTAGGGAAAAGAAAAGAAAAAGCATTGACTTCCAACTCTCTCTGTTGCGATAGAATTTGGGCATTAATATCAAATCACAATGTATTTTAATGAACTTTAAAACTGAGTGGCGCCACGTTTGCATGGCTATCTTCAATTTGCCTTTATGGAACCCAAATCCCTACCTGAAATGTTTTGGCAGGATCCTCTAGTGTTGTGACAAATGTCTTTGCATTCTTAGTCTGTGCTCACTGTAAGGCTTTGAGGTTGTCTGGAGGGGCTTGTGTGCTTCTTGAGTCTTAGAACTGATCTCTCTGGATTCTGCCTGTTTGTCTCAAGGAAACATGCCTGCTTGAGGACTCACCTTCCCAAATGTCATCCCCAGCTTTGCTAGTCTCTTCAGCCGCCTGCTCAGATAAAGGGGTTGGGGAAAGGGGATGTAAACAGAATATTGGATAGGAATGCTATGCATGTGAGATTTTTCTAATGACAAGGTATATTTTTGGCTTTTTGACAGTTCCCTCCCCTCCCCCTTGCTTTTATGTACTTATAGCTTACTTTGCTTGAACCTCTTATGCCAAAGTATCTCCTGTAGGTTGCAATCTTAAATAAATATTCTAGGGATTAAGTCCCTTGCTTCCGTGGGGTTTATTTATTTCTGCAGATTTGCATAATAATCCAGAGATTCGAATACTAGAGGGACAAGGGAGTCCCTCAGAGCACACAGTTGATATTGCTAGCTAGGTAAAAGACAGCAGGAAGCCATTGGCAGCGCCAGGGATTCCTTGGCACATGACAGATTTTCTGCACAAGCCTTTATTTCCTTGCTTTTTTTTTCTATACAGGAGGGCACAGAAGTGGTGCATTACTGTGAGAACTAGGTCTATATAAAGCAGCGGTTTTGATAGGCTTAGAAATGTAAGCAGATTGTCCTCCAGAGAACCCCCGATTTGATAATTTCACAGTGACATGTGAAACCTGGAAAAAGCTCAGAGGAATAGGCTCTGGGATTGAATTTGAATCCTCTTTGCTGTGGCCTTTTCCTAGTATATCTGGAAACACATTTTAAAGCCCAACTGGTGTTTTCTTTTAAAAAATTGACATTTTATTTAAATGCTTTCAATTAGTGTGTTCCCTCTAAATTGATTCAAAATGTTTAAAGGAACCAAAGTCAATTTGTCCCTGAAGATAGATAGAGTGTGCTATTAGAAGAAACTTCTCAGAAATGGCTAAGTGATTTGATTTGACTGGGACTTTTGAGTCTGCCTAGTCCTTTGTGTGGAGAGCGTGTCTTTAATTCAGAATTTGATTCTGAGGAAGCCTCGGCATAGCCGAGGGCTTCTGAGGTGTGTGTGTGTATGTGTGTGTGGTTAATTTGGGTTTTGATCTGTACTTCCCCTTTCTCTGCCAATTAACAGGAGTCCAACCTGTTTCCTTTTTGGATTGGGAGAAGATTGATGCTGTTGAAGTGGCAAGAGGCAAATTGGCCGGAAAGCCTCGGGAGAAAATAATTGATCAGGAGGAAATGCTAGAATTGATTGGACAATGAGACTGGACTTGCCCAAGATTATCGACACAATGCTCCTGCACAATTCAAAGGTTGCAACAGTTTGTGCATTGCTCTACAGATATGCCACTAACAATAACAGATGGTTTTGAATGTCTGGTGGTTTTGAATGGGGGTACCAAAAACTTGCTGCTGTCCCAAGCAATGGATTTCATCTACAGTCTGGTACATCCATTGTGTTTTTTTGAACTGGGGAGCTCTCCGTTTCTCTGAAGATGCTCTAAGCAGCTCCCAAACAGGAGCCGTTCTCTCTTTCTCTTGATCCCTGTAGAAAAGGGGAGGAGCAGCAGATAAAGTCTTTCAGAGTTTCATTTTCAAGGATTAACTGGTGTCAGTGCCTTATCTGCCTTTTCAAAGATTTGAGGTTTGTTTTGTAGGGTGGGGTGGGGATTGAGAGTGGTGGTCCTGTTTTGGTTTATCTCGATCTCAACTCCACATATACAAACCAATCGAAGAAACTTCTGGACATGCATTTCTCGTGGAGTTTTGTCATTAGATCTGATGCCACAACAGCCTTCATAGAAGAGTCACAATTAAATTCACACAGCATTCCACATGAGTTTGTCAGCCTTACAAAGGCTTGAAGTGAATTAAATTAAATGAATAAATTTTGTAGGTTGCTTTGAACATTCTAGATGTAAAAATAAAAATCAGCCTTACTCTAGAGGAAAAAGGGGAGATAAATTTGGACTTTGTAATCATGAGGATAAGTCAGAGAGGAAAGGCAATATCAGTCACTTTTCTTATTAGCTCTGGAATTCTTTCCTGTTCACATCCTGAATTTGCTGTCCAATTGTGTATTGTATAATCATTTTTAAAAAATAAAACTCTTTCTCAAATGGTGAACCCGGGTCAGCAGTCTAGACTTTTCAGCTTGTTGCCAATCATAAATCTTTTAGTCACAGCATATGCTGTTTATTCTACTGCTCTTGCAATTTAAGGAGATAGAAAATGCAGAGCAGGGCTCCACAAAGTTGACTTGATCCTTGCCAGATTCCTGTGCACACTAATTTTTCATAAGTCCTGGGAAATCAAAAGAAATAGCTTCTTTCCATGAGAAATTCAAACTGAAGTCAGGTTACTATTAATAAATAAAGTAACTTACATGCATATTTAATAAGCTCACTCCTAAGGAATAGCATAAGAAAAAAATTCAATAAAGTAGAACTGAGCCAACCAGTCCATTCCACTACTGCAAATGTGAATGTAAAAGTTGTACAAGTTTTGAAGTGTAACTGAAGAGAGTATGGTTTCACATCTTTCCCCACTTCTTACTTGTCTAAAAGAATGGTTCCACGTCAAGAAGCAACAATTTCCATCCATTCTAGTTCAGCTACTTCTTAGTTGCAGCAATTAAGATGGAAAGACCTGGCAGGATATTTTTTATTTATTGAAGCTTGAGATTGATACTCATGTTGGAAGCAGTATCGGAAGAGCAGAAAGGCAATCTTTTGGGCCTCCAACCTGGCACATCTGGGATAGCTGAATATCATATAAATCCATTCAATGGACTTAAAACATTTGAATTACCCTTATATTACTAGTTGGGGCCCTCTAGCCATCCGAAAACCTGTGTGTCCTCTCTTTCCAAGATGAAATTCCTATGGTCCATCAACTTTCTTGTCCTGAATGTTCATTAGGTGGCGCCATGAGGCCACACTATTACTTACAGCCAGCAACATTAGATGGCTTATAAAATGTTTGTGGGAATTTCTGAAGTTTACTTAAAGGTCTGCCTTCCTGCAAACCTGATACCTTCCACTTCTAACTTCTATAATTTTTGGTTGGTATGATTTTTGGAACCAGGAAGGCACAAATTTGGGGACCGATTGACCCACTGTAGACTATAAAGTTTTGAAAAATCCAGCCTGGCTGTTAAGTTTGGTCTTCAAACTGCTTTCTGATTACAATTCCTGATACTGGAATGAGGATTCTCCGGTCCTTATCTATTGCCAGATTGAAGGTGCTTCTAGCTTCCTGAAGAAATGATAGTGTACCAAATTGAAAAAAAACAGAGCTAAGGAAGATGAGCAAGGGTCTTGAGAGATTAACGTTGGATATTTCTCCATTTGAAATTTACAGCAGAATCATATTGTCCTGATGACCTCAATCTTCTTCCTTGGTTACATGACACTCATGACACTTCTCTTTTTCTTAAACAATCTTAAATCACCAATTTTGTACTGGAATATAAATAGCCTCTCCCTCCTCTATTTTTGTTCCCTGCACGCTTCAAGATGTCAAAAAAATTGTAATGTTTTGTCAACCATGATTTTGAAGACAATGTTAGGTGACCTTTTGTATGTGTGACCAGGGCTGTTCTTTGGAAAGCGCAGATGCTTCATGGCCCTTAGGGTGATTGACCAGGTGGCACCACAGTAATTTCTCTCCCAATTGCTCTTTCCTATAGCATTTTGTTTCTTCAGTTCCTTTCATCGCTATGCCATTCCCTTCCTTTTGTCTGTTCCCCTTTCCTTCTGCCCTGGCTGTCTCCTTGGGTGTGTCTTAACTGAAGAGTCTGAATCAAATCTGATGTGTTGCATAGTTAATTTTAGAATTTTTTGAAACACTCATGCTTATCATTCAGAGCTGTCTTCCCATATGGCTCTTTATTTCATATTATTTTGAAAAAATGAGATGGGAGTGAGATGAAGTGAATGAGATGAAGACAAGCAAACTAAGGAGGCCCAGACAAAAGTCTCCATATTGCAGACCGGTACAATAACATCTGACTCGCCCCCATTCGTTCTGCAAATGATGCATATTTACCCGCTGGCAGATGATGTGTTGAAGGGGATGACTGTAAAACCAGAGGATAAAGCTGATCATCCTGCCTCCAGCAATGTGCAAATCCCCAAAATCGGAATTATATAATATCATAGGGAATCACAAATGATGTAACTCAGGCAAGATAGGATTGAGGTTCTGCACAGCCAGGTTTATGATGGGATGTTTTGCTGCCAATGCAAGGAAGGCTGGATAATATTTTAACCCAGTAGGAAGGAAAGGGCCATAAAGAATTGGTTTTGTGGAACAGTTGCCTCTAAACTGGGAAGCTTCTTGAGCTTGTTCTGGATGCATAATAGCCATGAAAGTAATGGCTTCCGTTGTGCTAAAATCTGAGTATTTCAAGTCTTGGTTTACTTACGTATTAAAAAGCAGTAATATAATCAACAAAGACTGAGTCAATGTGGACCACTTGCTATGGCTGCTTCTGAGAAATCTGAGGTGCTTCTATCTGTGAGGGAGTACATTCAGAACTAAACCCACATTGTATTTGTTTGAAAAAGTAAAGAATATTTCCAAAATTGATATTAATAACAGTATAGATTATGATCTAAAGAAGTGGAACATCCAATAATGGGATATCAATAAGTTTCATGTCTTAAAAATGTTAAACCAATTTCACTGGAATTAAGATTAAAACTGATTCATCAAATCCATTCATCTATTCTGGGCACCCCAAAGACTGTATTTGAAAAGATGTATGTCAGATTTTCTTGGTTGACAATGTAAAAATTTGAGGGGGCCTCACATAATTTGGTCTTGTAAGCAACTGATATCTTTCTAGCATAATGTATAGAGTAGATTTATGGGAAAAATTGTAATATTAAAAATGTTACTATAATGTTAAACTATGTCCCAAATCTGTGGAATTTGACTATTCAGTAATTATGCCTGTATTGGAAAGATAATCATTTTGAGGAATTTGAAGAGTAGTATTTATTCCTGAAATGAAAGATTGGATTTAAAATATTTTTATCTGTTTTGGAAAAGCTATTTCAACTACTGATAACAAAATATTGCAATATGTTTCTCTTTGGCATAGATTTCATATCATACAGCAATGTGGTATTATTTGTTTTCTTTAATCTAGAATTTTTAAAATGTTTACTATTTGATGGATATGTCATATGTTTAGATACTCCTCTTTTCTATTTCTGTGTATCTTTTTGTAAAACTTGTTACGATTAAAAAAAACTTATTAAAAAGCAAATTGTGAATTCCAGTTTCGTTATGTGCTCCCTTTCTTGTCATTTTTTTTTTCTTACTTGGCTATAAAGAAGGCAGCTGCTACTTGTCAAGAAGCCAGAGTGGGTGGATTCATTCAGCATCTGCCAGAATCAGACAACTCACATTGTGCCATGGCTGAACCTCTTCAGCATGGCAATAAGCAAACTTCCATTGCCATCTGGATCTCCAACAAAAGAGTATTTACTGTACACTTGTGAGCTTTTTGTACAATGCTAAACTGGTTTGCAAGCAAAAGACTTGGCTTCTGAGGCTTTGGTGTGTCTATTCTGTTCATGCCTGTGTGGGTTTGATTATCAGTACAAGGCTGGTGACAAGATCACATCCTTCTACCTTTGTACTCTCTCTCCCTCTCCTCCCGGTTCAAACCTAAAGTATTTTTTTTATATTTTTTTCCTAGTGGGGCTTCTCAAAATAATATTTTATGTGTGCTCACAAGTTTTCAGTCTTTTCCGGGTTTGGGGAGGGGGAGAAGAATGGATAATGGGTAGACTTTTCCCCACAAGGAATTATCCTCCTTATTGTTCTTGCCCGAAGGTATTCATCTGTCTTTTGATCTGTCTGATCAAAGCCAATGGGCTGGTTTTCTCACAATGACATAATTAATTATACAACTTATACAGCTGCTTATCTTATATACAGATAGTCCTTGACGTATGACCACAATTGGGGCCCAAATTTCTGTTTCTAAGCAAGACAGTTGTTAAAATGAGTTTTGCCCAGTGGTGGGATTCAATTTTTTTTACTACCGGTTCTGTGGGCGTGGCTTGGTGGGTGTGGCAGGGGAAGGTTACTGCAAAATCCCCATTCCCTCCCCACCCCACTAACCTGCTTTCCAGCTCTGTTCTCCTGTGCAGGGCAACAAAAGAAGACCCAGCTGATCAGCTGGGACTTGGGAGGCAGAGAATAGATGGGGGTGGGGCCAGTCAGAGGTGGTATTTGCTGGTTCT